TGGCGATCAAGTTGACAAAGAACATTAAGGTGAAGTTTTTCAAGTCTACGGTGGCGATAGTCTGAGAGATGAGTCGATTTAGTGCACATATTTTACCATTAGTCTTAATATGATTTTTTTGTGGAACATCATTGGTACACCTAAAACACCAAGTCTTTAAGTATTGTGAGCGGTGCGCTTTGAGATCAATTACCTACATGTTTGACCAAATTTGACCAATAAGGGCAAAGCGTTTCATAACATGCTTCAAAATTATTGGAATTAGGCTCATTTTAAAGCTGAGGGATCATACTAAATAGTGATCATAACTAATATTTTTACAATATTTAGATAAAATTTCATATTTCTTTTTTGATTAATCACCAATATATGTTTATTACAAATACTTCAGATTTTTGTCCAAACAACTTTAAAAGTCTCGAAAACCACTTGACATAGAGAGCTAAGTTATGTACCAAACTGATGGCAAGAGTTTTGTTTATATTCAACATAATTGAGGTGTTTTTTAAAAACATGGTGTAAGTTGGCAAAAATAGAGAAAATTGTAATTTTCACTTATTTTTGGTAAAATAAAAATCACAAAAAACGCTATCTCAAAAACCACTCGTCATAGAGAGCTAAATTATGTATCAAAATGATGGCAAGACGCATGTTTATATTCAACATAGTGTATTGGAAGTCTTAGTCAAAAACGTGGTCTAAGTAGTAGTGAGTTTCATTCATTCTTGGTAAAAAGAAAATGTTAAAATCTTCTATCTTGTTAACCACTTGTCATAAAAGCTAAATTATGTATCAAACTGAGAGCAAGGATCATGTTCATATTTAATATAATAGAGGTCTTAACACGGTGAAGATGGCAAAGGATCATGTTCATATTTAATATAATAGAGGTCTTAAACATGGTGAAGATGGCAAAGACCGGCATATTATTATTATTATTATTAATATTATTAATCAAAATTGAGAAAATATTGATTTTTTACTAATTTTTAGCAAAACAACTAAAAACCACTTGTCATAGAAAGTTAAATTATGTATCAAACTGAAGGCAACAACGATGTTTATATTTAATATGATTATTATTATTATTATTATTAAAAATTGAGAAAATATTGATTTTTTTACTCATTTTTAGAAAAACAACTAAAAACCACTTGTCATAAAAAGCTAAATTATGTATCAAACTGATGGCAACAACCATGTTTAAATTTAATATGATTATTATTATGATTATTATTATTATTATTAAAAATTGAGAAAATATTGATTTTTTACTCATTTTTAGCAAAACAACAAAAAACCACTTGTCATAGAAAGCTGAATTATGTATCAAACTGAAGGCAACAACCATGCTTATATTTAATATGATTATTATTATTATTATTATTTATTAGTCAAAATTGAGAAAATGTTGATTTTTTTACTCATTTTTAGCAAAACAACTAAAAACCACTTGTCATAGAAAGCTAAATTATGTATCAAACTGAAGGCAACAACGATGTTTATATTTAATATGATTATTATTATTATTATTATATGTTTATTACAAATACTTCAGATGTTTGTCCAAACAACTTTAAAAGTCTCGAAAACCACTTGACATAGAGAGCTAAGTTATGTACCAAACTGATGGCAAGAGTTTTGTTTATATTCAACATAATTGAGGTGTTTTTTAAAAATATGGTGTAAGTTGGCAAAAATAGAGAAAATTGTAATTTTCACTTATTTTTGGTAAAATAAAAATCACAAAAAACGCTATCTCGAAAACCACTCGTCATAGAGAGCTAAATTATGTATCAAAATGATGGCAAGACGCATGTTTATAATCAACATAGTGTATTGGAAGTCTTAGTCAAAAACGTGGTCTAAGTAGTAGTGAGTTTCACTCATTCTTGGTAAAAAAAAAATGTTAAAATCTTCTATCTTGTTAACCACTTGTCATAAAAGCTAAATTATGTATCAAACTGAGAGCAAGGATCATGTTCATATTTAATATAATAGAGGTCTTAACCATAAACACGGTGAAGATGGCAAAGACCGGTATATTATTATTATTATTATTATTATTATTATTATCAATCAAAATTGAGAAAATATTGATTTTTTACTAATTTTTAGCAAAACAACTAAAAACCACTTGTCATAGAAAGCTAAATTATGTATCAAACTGAAGGCAACAACGATGTTTATATTTAATATGATTATTATTATTATTATTAAAAATTGAGAAAATATTGATTTTTTACTCATTTTTAGAAAAACAACTGAAAACCACTTGTCATAAAAAGCTAAATTATGTATCAAACTGATGGCAACAACCATGTTTATATTTAATATGATTATTATTATTATTATTATTATTAAAAATTGAGAAAATATTGATTTTTTATTCATTTTTAGAAAAACAACTAAAAACCACTTGTCATAAAAAGCTAAATTATGTATCAAACTGAAGGCAACAACCATGTTTATATTTAATATGATTATTATTATTATTATTAATCAAAATTGAGAAAATATTGATTTTTTACTCATTTTTAGCAAAACAACTAAAAACCACTTGTCATAGAAAGCTGAATTATGTATCAAACTGAAGGCAACAACCATGCTTATATTTAATATGATTATTATTATTATTATTATTATTATTATTATTAATCAAAATTGAGAAAATATTGATTTTTTTTACTCATTTTTAGCAAAACAACTAAAAACCACTTGTCATAGAAAGCTAAATTATGTATCAATCTAAAGGCAACAACGATGTTTATATTTAATATGATTATTATTATTATTATTATTATTATTATTAAAAATTGAGAAAATATTGATTTTTTACTAATTTTTAGCAAAACAACTAAAAACCACTTGTCATAGAAAGCTAAATTGTGTATCAAACTGAAGGCAATAACCATGTTTATATTTAATATGATGGAGGTTTTAATCATAAACATGGTGTAAGTTGGTAAAAATAGAGAAAGTAGTGAGTTTTACTTATGTATATATTCAGGATAATGGAGGTCTTACCATAAATATAGGGTAAGTTGGCAAAAATAAAGAAAAAGTGATTTTCATAAACATGTGTTAGAGATTCGCAAAAAAATGCAATCTCATTAACCACTTGTCATGTAAAGTAAAATTATTCAATATAATGGAGAAGTAAAGACTATGGTTATGTTTATATTCAGGATAGTGGAGGTCTTATCATAAACATAGAAAAAAATAGATAAAAAGTTATTTTCACAAACACACATCCGCAAAAACAAATTTCTCTCGTTAACCACGTGTCACATAAAGTAAAATTACTCTATATAATGAAGGAGTGATTTGTAATCAATTTTGGTAAAACAAAATTGCAAAAAATATATATATATATTTCGTAAAAAGCTAAATTAAGTATCAAAAACTGACTGGCAAGAGTCATATTTATATTCATTATAATGGCGGTTTAAATAATAAACATTAGCTAATACCACTTGCTTCAACGTCATTGACCAGGACAACAGTGAAATTAGATTACGAATAAAAGAATCACTACACATCAAATGGAACAGTCCAAATCTCAACGTTCAACTCAAACATTTAAGCTTACAACTTTTCAATTAGCATACAGTACTAATGTATGCAAGGTGTTCTATACACCTGTCTCTTATACACATCTAGATGTGTATAAGAGACAGTTGCATTCCAGTTCATGTCTTTATCTATAACAATTCCTAAATATTTATGTTCATTAACCGTTTCAATTTCTTTATCATTAACTTCAATTTGTTCGACCATTTCTTTCTTTCTTCTGAAGTCGAACACTATTTCTTTAGTCTTATCTGCATTTAAAATTAAACTGTTATCTTTACACCATCTTTCAAACTTACTGATAACATTTTTATATTCGTCTTCACATCCATTCAAAATCAACCCCGTGATAACTGAAGCATCTGCATATTTGATTAAGTTACAATTACCATTAACACGAAAATCATTGGTATATATGGAAAAAAGTATGGGCGATAAAACACACCCCTGGGGGACACCGGTATTTGTGAACAGCATGTTTGAAAACAGCTTTCCTAATCTAACCATTTGAGGTCTGTTTGTGATGAACTCTCCATCTCCAATCCATAGGATAAGGTGGGGGTTGATATTTAGAGTTGAGAGATTTTTTCAGAAGGATGTGAGGTTGAATTGTGTTAAAAGC